AAAAAAAGATTATGAAATGTCAGGGTTTTTTTTTTCTTGTATGGGAATGTGCATTGAGGGCCATGAGAAAAACAATAGGCCAATGTAACACAATGCCTGTTGATACACCATAAAGCTTTTGTCAGTGTGCCTGGGACAGTATAAATAGTCTCTAAATCATTTTTCCATGAGTTAACACAGAGGTGTCTTATTTTAGACATTTTGATAAGGTCTAGTATACTGCCATTTCAAATGGTTATTGTACACCTCTGTTTGTGTTGTGTGCTAGCTGTGCCGGATAACCCTGTATTCAGCTTAGTTTAAATGGAGCTGTGCTTTGAGTCCGCATAGGACATATTCCAGTATTCTGGCAACAGGCCTGTAGTGTATACAGGTACAGTCAAAACATATTTCAAGAGACAGTACAAGTACCACTAACTGGAATAGACATGAAGTATCCAAAGTATGATAATGTACATTTACTCATAAGAGCTTTCAGTCTAATAGGGTGAGGAAAGTGGTACAAAAGGTTATAACTGTGAGGGATGAGCCGATGGAAGCATTGTAGGAATTGTTCACCTTTCAGGCAGAATTTCACTTTTCACAATAAAAGCCTTTTCTAATGTCTTTTCTGCTCATGCCATCCCAGTGTTCTTGTCTCTAGTCCATGACAGCTTTGAATCTTCACCTCCTGGTTAAAAATTTAAAAAAATGCTTTCTGAGCCCAGATTTCCTGTATCATCATATGATCTTCCATGAAACTTCATATTCCATCATGCACTGCCTTACTGCATCATGGAATAGGGTGTGTTTTACCTCTGTGGACCACACCTCCCTCATTAACCACTTCCTGTACAAGCCTGTAGGACATACCCGTTTGCCTTTAACTTAAGTGGTTATACCGGAGCCATAGCTGCAGTCATGACCCCAGTAACTTTTTTTTTTTTTTTTTTTTCCTCCGGCAATGCTTTTTAATGTAAAAGTGACTCTAATGGTTAAATAGCTGCTGGATCACTTTTACTTGTGGTGGAAGGGGTCCACCGTATTCTGCTGCCTTTAGAGACTTTCCTATTCCACCTGAGAGACTGGGATTGAAGCTGTTTACTATAGGTCACCATGGCTTACCATAGAAATGTCCAAGGACCAGAACTTCCCCGAGCTGCGGTCTAAAAAGCTCTCAAGCCCGCCCGTGCTCGCACATAGAAGTAAACTCATATGTAGGTCCCACACACATATGTAAGCAGTGTTTGCGCCACATATGTGAGGCATCGCCTTGAATGGTATAGCAAGAGCAGTCACTCTAGCACCAGACCTCCTGTATAACCTGTAAAGGTTTGTTGCCGTTCCACAGGCATTTGCAGTTTTAAAGCGTGACATGTTAGGTATTTATTTACTTGGCATAACATCACCTTTTATATTTTACCAAGCAATTGGATTAAAAAAACACTGTGTAAATTGCAACATCCACCATTTTATTCTCAGGGGCCTCTGCTTTAAAAAAAAAATGTTTGGGAATCCTAAGTAATTTTGTAGCAAAATAAATATTGATTTTTACATGTATGGCAGAGATATCAGAATTGGCCTAGTAGGCAAGTGGTTAATATACCACAACTTTTTTTATTTCCACTTGCTTTCCTACTGCTTCCTTTTAAGGTTGCCATACACTGTACAATCTCCTTTATCTCTACCATCAATTGTGTAGTGCAAGGGCCTGCCTGATTTTATAAAATTAAATAGATTGTTCAGGTGTGTCCTCCTATTCCATAGTTTTAGCAAATTTTAAAGTAAATTAAACCGCGATTGCACAGATTGCCTTAGAGTTTACGGCCAGTTTTAGAGTACTTTGAAGGGAGACATTCAGCTGTTAATGTTCTCGTAATCCAACTCCAGCTCAGCGAGGGAGAGGCTGTAAACACACCAATTTCACTTTCAGGTCCCATTCATACAGCGTAGTGGAAGCGTACTTTTATTTTTGGTACGTTTTTCCAATGACACGCATAGGGCAGCCCATTGATTTCAATGGACTGCGCTACACACTTCAAACGCAGCAAAGTAGCTTTTGGCATATTGTGGTTTGCACATATTTTACTGTGCATTTGTCGTGCTTTTTTTCAGTCGACAAAATGTGTGTTTTGGGGTGCCATTTACAATTAATGGCACCGGAAAGCACAACTAGTTCATTTTAGGTGTATAAAGGTGGCCATATACAATACAATCTGATTGTACAATCTCCCTTAGATTAACCATAACTATATAATCAAAGGACACACCTATCTATCCAATCGCTGTATCCAATCAGACAGCCCCTTATACTACATAGTTGATGGTAGATATAAAGTGAATTGTACAATCAAATTTTTTGCTTCAATGGCCAGAATAAATTAATATTTTGGCCAATGAAATGAATGCCCAAGCTCTTGATGTGCCTAAACGCATTTGCCAAAAGGCGTCTAAGACACATTTTGTCAAACTGCTTTTCTCCTTAGCAACTTAAATACACGTAAACAAGATGTCCACTGAAAGCGATTACAGAAAGGACCATGCGGTAAACCATAGTAAATAGATCAAAAACTGAATTTATTTTGTAATATTGAGTATAAATGCATAGAAATTGCCAATCCTATAACAAAAAAGGCAATTGACCAAACACCGATATCCATCACCTCACCCCAGACAACGTTGTCTGTTCCACTTAATACCATAAAAACAAACCATGACGTCATGGTATGGGCCTATGTTCTAAAGAATAATTAGCCAGGCAGCCATTCTTTTGAACATAGGGCCATACCGTGACATCATGGTTTGTTTTTGCCCCTTTTCCTTTTTTAAAAAATTTTGTTATGTTGAAGCCTCATATAGTTGTTGTTTAAATTCATTTTTTTCATGACTTTTTGAATGCGCTGTAAACGTTTAATGACACTGTAACATTGAACATTCAGGGCAAAGTGACTGTTTTTTCAGTCACTGGAATCCAATGTTCTGGGACTAGGGGGTACAAGTGACATCACCCCTCCATCATGTGACAGTGCTTGGCGATAGGCGGATAGACATGCACTATTATCCTAGCAATAAGGCACTGGGAGTTTTTCAGCCAGGCTTCCAGGGGACCCAGATAGCCATGAAATGAATGAACATTTTTATAAAACTGTGCAGTTTAATACCAATTGGGGCCCTGTGACTGCATAGGTTAGTTTCTTATATGGGTGAACATTACCTTTAAAGATTGATTTAACTGTTCTTGCAATGTATAATGTGTGGCTCATGCACACTGGATGTTTAGCCCTGGTGGATGATATCCCAACTTTTTGGTGGGGGCAGAAATGAAGTACAGGCACAATGCCTAAAACGCAGGCTGCTTGCTTTAGGCATTTGTCTGTGGTCACATACTGCCCTAAATGTTAGTGCCACTTGGTGCACTGTTCTTCTGCAGCAGCTTTCAGCCTCTCATAGAAGTTTACAGGCTGCCATCAGTGATGCTGAATGGATGCGTCTGTGCCTTCCATCGAGATCCCATGCACTGGGGTTAAATGCCCAGTTTGAATGAGACCTTAAAGTGTTACTAAATCCAGGACCCTGCATTCACTATGTCCACAGAACATGAAAATGCAATTATTTTTTTTGTAAACACATACTGATAAATACTTTTTCTCATCAGCAGTTAGAGCAGTCTTGTGACTTGTATAAGTGTCCAGCCGAGCACATGTTAAAGCTTGTAGGAGGAGTTTTAATTTCTGCTGTTGGAGGATGCAGGACCCCTGACCTCTGTCTGGACAGTGCTGATTGGCCCTGTGCTGATGACTTGCACTCTCTGAAGAAAAAAAATAAACGTCTCTAGCATTAATCACCAAAATGAGCATGTGCAGAGTGACTCCACACAATATATCTTGTCAGGAGATAAGAGGGGTGGCACTGGAAGAAGGGGAGAATCGTAGAAGTCAGGATCAAACTATTTTTTACACAATGCAGAGGATTAACCCTTTGGGTTCCACAGTAAATCTAACAAGCATGCTTTACTGCATATACAGACTGATTTTACTGTTGTGGGTCTAGTAACACTTTAAAGTGTTTGTAAACCTTAAACATGAAATTGAACAATGCATATCCTTCTATAGTGTGTGCTTTTCTCAATCCAGAGCACTAAGGTACTAAGCAGACAAAAATTACATTTCAGGGTTGATTTACTAAAACTGGAGAGTGAGAAATCTGGTGAAGCTGTGCATGGTAGCCAATCGGCTTCTCACTTCAGCTTATTCAATTAAGCTTTGACAAGAAGACTTGGAAGCTGATTGGTTTCTATGCAGAGCTGCTCCAGATTTTGCCCTCTCTAGTTTTAGTAAATCAACCCTAAAGTGTCATTTCTGTCTGCTGCCTCGTTCCTCTGCTATAAGCATAGGTCACTTCTACCACATTTTCCTGACACCAAGAGTAAAATGTAGGGGGGGGGGGGGGGCACAACCTGTGATTGACAGCCTCCACTCTCTTCCTGTGTGCTGTGTGAGGGAGGGGGGCATTCCCTTCAGTCAGTTCTTGGAGCTTTCCTCACTGATGTAACTTCAGTTCTCTGCACTTTGAATGAAGGGGAAAGATGGCTATAGATAAACAGGTATAACGTATGTAGGAGGATTTGTTTCATCTCTGTGTATCACCTGAGGCCAGTCACTTCACTGGGTGTATGTAAGGGTTTACAACCACTTTTAAGGCTCATCCACACCCCTTCAGTTGAGCCGCTTTGCTCTGTGCAGATTGATTTCAATAGAAAGCATTGGCAGTGACACCTGCAGCCTGTGACCAGTCGCATCAGAGTAGAGGTGTGCGTATTAGTTTGTTGTATTCAAAGTCCTATGCTTGGAATTGGTCTTCTTAATGTGTTTGTATTCAAATTATTATGTAATATGACTGGTCACATCATGCCTTTATTATTTTGTTTTAATATGGCAGAAGCTGCAATACCTTAAAATATTTTCTGTACCATGTCTAACTTTTGTGTTTTTTTGTTTTGTTTTTTTTTTGTGATATTTTAGGAAACACACAAAGTTTATAAACAGAAGTTGGAAGAACTGAACACTCTTCAAAGCGTGTGTAGCGGTTACATAAACAAGCATAAGAGGCGTCTAGCGGACTTAAAATGCAACCTGAACAAGTAAATGATTCTTTTTACCCTGCAATATGACATTTAGTTAAAGAAATTGGCGCTGACCATGGATCTGGTTCTTACCAGCCAATCAGTCTTTTCTGTAAGTTTCCTTTGTATTAACTTTATGGCTATTTCACACATAGTGTGGTGGCAGGTATTTTACTGCATTGGACACACAGAAAACTATTATTTCCTGTGCATCCTATTCACAGCCTGGATGCATATTATAGCGGTGCACTGTGCAGAATCGCATAGTATCACATGGCACTGCTATACAGTGCCATGAATGAAGTGTATACTTCTAATAAAGTTTGTACTAATACAAAAAAAAACCCGAGCTGTGTAAAATTAACGAAATCCCGCACCACACTGCCCCCTACTGCAAACTGGATGGACAGCTGCTGGAGAGGTAAAATGCTTTGGCAGCTGTCTCCTCCTCCTGTGTGCACCAGCCCTATCATTATCCTTCTCTGTCAATTGCTATACACATACAGTGGGTATAGAAAAGAATCCCCCCCCCCCCCCCCCCTTTTTTTGAAATAATCACATTTTGTTGCTTTGCAGCCTGAAACAAAGACACGCAGTTTTTGTTTTATCCAGCTGTATTTACTCAGTACAACATCCAAGCGAAAGATGTAACACCAACATGTCAGAAAAAATAAAAGAAAATCAAAAACAGAATCGCAGAGTTAGAAAAAGGATCAACCCCTTGTGTTAGTATTTTTGTTGAACCACTTTTTCCTTTAATTACAGTCTTTAGTCTGTTGGGATATGTCTCTACTAACTTTGCACATCTAGACTTTGCTATACTTGCCCATTCTTCTTTGCAGAACTGCTCAAGTTCAGTTTAATGTGATGGTGACCATTTGTGGACTGCAGTCTTCAAGTCATTCCACAGATTTTAAATGGAGTTTAAGTCTGAGCTGTTACTCTGAGGAAGGGGGCCAGAGTCCCCCGAAACATGTCAGCTGGCTATGTCATCCATCTGTCAGTCCGATTGGACAGGAGACGAATGCACTTCCTGCCCATGTACTTTAATGCCTTTAGCCTACTGGGCTTGTGAGTATGTTTTTATCTATTTCACCGATAAAGTACCCAAAGATAATGCACTAGGAGTTTGTGCCTTTTCTGTTTTTGTTGTAGTACTGGAATTCCCCTATCCAAGGAGGGCTGCACCACCTACATGTCAAGTTTGGGTTGCTTGTCCTTGACTCATCTCCACATTTAAAGATGGGGGCCCCTACCATTTCAGCAGTATCAAGTTTGTACTTTGTAGTTGTCTGGGCTCTGACTAGGACATGCAAGGACATTCACCATTTTCTCCTTTTAGCACTGTGTGGTCGTTTTTTCTGTGTGTTTTGGGTCATTGTCATGTTGGAACGTAAACCTTCCCATTGACCTCTTTCTGGCAGAGGGCAGCATATTTTCCTCAAGAGTTTGACGGGGTTTTGCCCCATCCATTTTTCCTGACAAGTGCTCCAGTCCCTGCTGCAGAGAAACAACCCCATAACAGGATATTACCACCTCCGTGCTTTACTGTAGGAATGGTGGTATTTGGATGGTGAGCTGGATTGGAATTCCACCAGACATATCGTTTAGTGTTGAGGTCAAGTAATTCAATTTTAGTCTCAGCTGATCATAACACCTTTTTCCATGTGGCCTCAGAATCTTCAAGGTGTGTTTTGGCAAAGCTCAGTCCTGACTGTTGTATGTGGCCTTTCTTGAGGAATGGCTTTTTTCCTGCAGCCCTCCCATACAAGCCACATTTGTGGAGAATTTGTGATATTGTTGTCACATGCACACAATGACCTCTCTTTGACATAAAGTCCTGCAACTGCTTCAGTGTTGCTGTAGACCTCTTGGTAGCATCTCTGACCAGTTTCTTCCCGGCTATTTCATCCAGTTTGGTGCGGCGTCCTGATCCAGGGAGAGTCTGTGTTGTACCAAATACCTTCTACTTCTTAATAATAGACTTCAATGTGCTTCAAGGCATGGATGAAGCCTTTCATTTATTTTTGTATCCATCTCCTGACTTGTGCATGTCCACAACTTTAACCCGGAGATCTTTTGACCATGCCTTGCCACCCATAGTTGCTTGCTTCAGTTGCACTATCAGGGACTGAAATACTCCAGGAAAGCTTTTTTCATGTAGCGCTAATCATAATGATCACAGCTGAAAGTCAGATGGCTTTGTGTGCTATTCAGAAGATGATTAGCAACACCTGATTGAGTTTACAAGTCATTTTTAGGAGGGGTTGATCCTCTTTCCAACTCAGTAACTTGGTTTTTGATTTTTTTTATAAATACAGCTGGGTAAAACAAAAATTGTCTATTCATTTCAGGCTGCAGGGCAACAAAATGTGATTATTTTAAAGGGGGGTGATTCTTTTCTCTACTTACATTTATATTTATATATATATATATATACACACACACACAAAAATCTTCTTCACTTGTGGACATTGTTCTGCTGTAGAGATAATGCAATGCTGAGTTTCAGCAGTGTGTCTTGGCTGGGGGATTGTATGTCTAGTTTAGATGCAGAGTTTCTATTTTCTCCTGTGATGCTGCCTACACACAATATTCAACTTAAAAATAGCAACGTGTGAGAAGCATGGAAATTTTAGATGGGCCTATTTATTGGACAGTGCATAGAGGAGTAATATTATGGAAAGTGTAGTAACCCATATCAACTAAACTTCACTTTTTACTATTTTAAAGCGTATGTCCAGCCAAAAACCTCTCTTCCTTGTTTCAAATATGGTGGGGAAAGGATAAAACTCCTGTCGTGTCCCTCAGTTCCTGTCTGGTGAAACCATTTTTAGCAGAACAGGAAATGAGGGGAAATTGCTCTGATTTAGGCCAGATAGTAGTAAAAACACAAGGGTTCTGCATTTTTCCCATTCTATTAAATAAAAGCAGTGTTTGCCTTGTCATACACTTTCAGACATTCAGAACACAAACAGATGGTCAACATATATTTTCTTATCGAACTTGCAAGGCCCATTGCATGGAATTTTAACCAACAAGCTAGAAATTCTCAGTTGGTAATTGGTGGTTCTGCCATCAAAAGTGCTCATCGCCAAAGGGATGTAGCAGAAGACTGAAAATACGAACTGTCCATTCAGCAACTGTTAGCTAGCTTTCAGTGATTATTACATAAGTATGCAAGTGTTGTAAAGAGCTGAGGGTGTTTTTTTTTGTTTGTTTTTTTTTTTAAGTACAGCTTACATGCTTGCATGTATTTTCCTCATCTTCTAACCTGTAGTAAACTCTGGAGAATCCCACAAGTCTGTACTTGTTTAGAATCAAGTAGAGCTTGCTGGAAGATTGCAGCTGCTGTTGAAATCTTTTTGTAATCCCATAAAATGTCTTTTACAGAACATTTTACAGGCAGGAAATTGTGTTTAATTTGTTTATCCATTAAACAATTTTTAATTGATACATTTTGGAGTGCTGCACATTTAATATACTAATAATGACCATATACCCATTGTTTCCTTTTCCCCTATTTTCTGTTAAGTAGATTATATAGTACTTCCTATTAAATTAATGTGTGTCTTAGCATCCAGGTAACATAGCTAGTTCAGTGCTACATGGAATACAGTTTGACAGTCTTTGTGGATTATGGTGTGGGGTTGTTTTTCAGGGGTTGGGCTTGGCCCTTTTGTTCCAGTGAAGGGAACTCTTAAGACGTCATCATACCAAGACATTTTGGACAATTTCATGCTCCAAACTTTGTGGGAACAGTTTGGGGATGGTCCCTTCCTGTTCCAACATGACTGCGCACCAGTGCACAAAGCAAGGTCCATAAAGATATGGATGAGCGAGTTTGGGGTGCAGGAACTTAATTGGTCCTGGCCTCAACCCGACAGAACACCTTTGGGATGAATTAGAGCAGAGACTGCAAGCCAGGCCTCCTCGTCCGACATCAATGCCTGACCTCACAAATTCGCTTCTGGAAGAATGGTCAAACATTCCCATAGACGCACTCCTAACCATTGTGAACAGCCTTCCCAGAAGAGTTTAAGTTGTTATAGCTGCAAAAGGTGGGCCATCTCAAAGTTGAACCCTACAGACGACAACTGGGATGCCATTGACCACCTCTCGCCCGCCATATAAGGAAAATATTGGGCGCAAGCGGTTCTCTTGTTCTGGGAGGACATCATAGGTTCGGGGGGGCGCGCAGTGCGGCGATCTATAGTGTGCTGTGTCCCTAGGACACAGCGGATCACCGATCAATGGAAAGAGCCAAAGACGTCTGCTCGGTCATGTGATCAGCTGTGTCCAATCACAGCTGATCGCATGTAAATAGGGAAATGCCGGTTATCGGCATCTCTTCTCACTCTCTCTCATGCTCAGCTCGAGAGGAGAAGAGATCTGGTAATCAGCATTACTCAGAGGGGACATGTACAATGATCATCAGGGCAGGATCAGTGTGTCCTGATGATCAGTGTAGCCCCAGCAGTTCCACCTGTCAGTGCCCATGAATGCCAGCTGTCAGTGCTCATAAATGCCACCTGCCAGTGCCACATCAATGCCACACAGTGCCTACCAGTGCACATCCGTGCCACATATAAGTGCCCATCTGAGCTGCCTTTCAGTGCTGCCTATCAGTGCCAGTCAGTGCCACCTATCAGTGCTGCCTATCACTGCTAGTCAGTGCCACCTATCAGTGCTGCCTGTCAGTGCCATATATGAGTGCTGTCTTTCAGTGCCTATCAGTGATGCCTGTCAATGCCCATCAGTGCCTCCTCATCAGTGCCACCTATCTGTCCATCAGTGCAGGCTATTCGTGCCCATCATTGCAGCCTCATTAGCGCACATCAGTGAAGGAGAAAAATCACTTATTTACAAAATTTTATGACAAAAACTAAGAAACATTTTTTTTATATCTGAAGACAGATTTTTCAAAGGTTCTATGGACTGATGAGATGAGAATGACTCTTGACGGACCAGAGGGATGGGCCTGTGGCTGGATCAGTAATGGGCTTCCCTCATTACACAAATACACATCACTTGATATGCTTAAATCCAATAAGCATTCAAGTTTATACAGCTTGGAATTGGGCAGTATACATAAAAATGATGATTTGGTCAAAAAAGCTCACTTCCCTAAAAATTATGCACACAGTGTAGTTACGTTGGTTCAATCTGGGGCAATGTAACTGGGCATAACATGCCGATAGCAAAAAAAAAAACAGTGAAAAAAAAGAATTCACAAAGCGAAAGCGGTTACATTAATAACATGCCGATACCTGGAATTTTTCCTTAAAAGAGAAGTAGCTCTTTTGGCCATACTTCTCCTGTGGGTCACGGGAGTGCTGTTGGCTGATATCAGAGTTGCTTCAGTTTATGGATGTATCCTAATAATATTGATATCCACCCAGATGCCTGATTGGCAGCTGACTCAGCCTATCAGTGTGCTGCTGAGAGCCTGAGCCAGTCACTGCAACCCCATCTCCTGCCCGGCACTCCATTGACCCTGTAGGTTCAAAGCAGAGAGCCATTGACTGACAGTCACCACTTTCTGGTTAGAGTGGACCTGAGAACTGAGTGATCAGTGGAACCCAGTTTTTGGGCTTAGAGCTGGTGGGGAATAGCTGCAGCACCACATCAATATTGCAGCCATGTTAGGCAAGTATATGTGTATTTTTTATTTTTCCACCTTTCTCCTTTAAACTCGGTCTAAGAAGGGTAGAGCAGGCTTTTTGTCCGAACAGTTGTTTGTCCGAAAGTTGATCTTAAGCCGGACCTTTACTTTTAAAAGTTTTTAAAATTTGGTTCAAGATCACTTGAAGGATTTTTTTTTATGTTAAATTATATTTTCTTGCATTACCAGTGCAAAGATTGCAAATCTCTAAAGAATCTGTATTGCCTAATATGCCTTCTTCAAATCAGAGTTATGTTGGAAAAGTTCTATACAGATTTTTTTTTTTAGTTTTGGACTTTTAGATTATTTGAATGAGATCTTGCAAAATCTAAGTAAAATGCTTCTTAAATATTCCTGACTTTTTGAAAAGAAATTAACCTGATGTTAGTGTAGGCTCACTCTTAAACTTGATGTACTCTATTTGAACCCCAGGGGATGCTGTAGAAATCTGTAACTTTGTTGTTCTTCCTCCTCAAGGTATAAACACACTGCCAGCCTTGGTGAGACTGACCTCATTCAGCAGATACATGGTACTGTTAAAGAGAGGCACAATGTCTTCTTTGACATGGAAGCTTATTTGCCAAAGAAAAATGGGTAGGTATTGCCAAATAAGAGCTGGCCTATTGATATGTCTGAATTTCCTAAAGTGGTTCTAAAGCTTTAAAGTGGTCCTAAAGGCTCAAGGATTTTTACCTTCATGCATTCTATATACTATATCTAAAACTCACCTAAGCCCCCTCTCAATCCAGTGATGTGCATTGGAGTCTCCCTCTTCTCATTGGCTGAAACAGAAGCGAGAGCCATTGGCTCCCACTGCTGTCAATGACAGCCAGTGAGCCAACGAGAAGTGAGGGGGCTGGGCTGAATCGGGGTTCCGTGTATGAATGGACACATGGAGCAGTGGGTGCCCCCATAGCAAGGTGCTTGCTGTGGGGGCACTCGACAGGAGGGAGGGGCCAGGAGAGCCTGCGTAGGACCCGAGAAAAGGAGGATTCAGGCTGCTCTGTGCAAAACCACTGCACACAGCAGGTAAGTATAGACATGTTTGTTATTTTTTCTTTAAAAAAAACTAAGACTTTAGAATCACTTGGTTTTCACCCTAATGCATTCTATGCATTAAAGCAGAGCTCCACCCAAAAGGGGAAGTTCCGCTTTAAGGACTGCTTCCCCGCTTCCCATTAAGGATTTGCACCTTTGGGGGGGAGCAGGTACCCGAATTTGACAGGTACCCGCTCCCACTTCCGGTCCGATTGCCTAGGCGACCAGAAGCGGAAGGTGTCCTCCCTCCTTTCCTGTAGTCTTTTGGGACACATGACAGGTCCCAGAAGACTACAGGACCATTCATGAAGCGCAGCGCTACTCACGCATGCGCAGTGGGTACCCAGCTGTGAAGCCGCAAGCTGTCACAGCCTGGTGCCCACACTGAAGATGCTGGCCTCCTGGAATACAGGACGGCCAGTGAAACGGGCTGCGGTGCACACACCGCAAGACCGAGGGACAGGTAAGTGGCTGTTTTTTAAAAGTCAGCAGCTACAGTTTTTGTAGCTGCTGACTTTTATTTTTTGACAGGATGAGTGGAACTCCGCTTTAAGATGAAAAACCTTCAACACCGCAGGATCCACAAACCCCCCTTATTCTTACCTGAGCCCGATCCAATCAGTGATGTGCAGGAGAGCAGCGACTCTCACCTCGGTCTCCCTCCTCACTGGGCAGATCGTCAGTCAAATGCTGTGACGAGCAAGCAATGCTCAGCCACCCGCTCTGTGGCAATAAACACAAACAGGGCGGCACAGGAGTGAGCCTGCACGAGTGCCCCCATGGATAACGGCTTTCCATGGGAGCACTAGCCAAAGAGGAGGAGCATAGAGCGCCAACGAGGGACCCCACAAGAAGAGGATTGGGGCTGCTGTGTGCAAAGCCATTGCACAGAGCAGGTAAGTATACCATGTCGTTTTAATTTTTAAAAAATTAAGCTTTAATATCACTAAAGGATTTCTTCATATATCTGCACATCAGTTTTTTTGTTTGTAAGTTCAATGTTTTAATCATGTTATCCCTACTATTTGGATCTTCACAGATTGGGTAATAAATCTATAGTTACATATACCCACAATTCTTATTTTTAGACTCCTCAGTGGCAGCACCCAAATAACACAGCACTGTCATGGAAGACAAAGAGAGACAGAAATGCAATTACCAAGCTTTATTTTTTCATTCTTTCTGAGATTCCTTGATGGTTTGCCCTTACTACCTATGTGTTTACTCGGACACAAAGCAAACCAGTTCTTGCCAATTTGCACACAATTGTAATAAAGTTAGAAGATTAGAATCTGCCATGCTTTTTTCTGTTTTCTGTACTTGTTGAAGGGATTCTCCTCATTTTGGGAATTGGAAGTAATAAGACAAATACTATAGTAACATTCCAGTGGAAATTGTAACCCCTTCCCACTTTATCCAAAACATTAAAAAATTGCCTGTAGTGCTTTTTTTTTACCAGCAGCAGCACCAGCTTAATCACATGAATGCGGTCATCATTACAGAATCACTTAGACAACGTCTTGGCTAAAAAAGAATAGGCTCTGCATCCTTTTCAGCTGCTCATATGTTGAACTGCTGCTGTTTCAATTCTCATCAGCCACCCCAGGTGTGTAGAATACCTTCTCCCCCGCCACACTTTAGTTCCTCCTGTTGGCTTGTGCTTGTATATCAATGCACTCATTGTTAGATTAAAGTGGAAAGTCCCTTTAGTTAAATCAAACCTGGGTGTCAGCTCTTGAACCTCTCCTTTTCCATCTCACTTCTATTTGGAAGGAACAGTGCACGCTGGATGCAGACATATGCATTGCTCTATGTACAATATATAGCCCATAGTGCCTAGCTGATTTTAGGAGTTAGCAAGAAGGGTTGGCTATGATCCTACATGGAAGCCACCCTCTTAATAGGGGGAAAAAAAGGATTTTACAGAAGGCTGAGTGCAACAGAAGGTACTTTATTGAGTAAAGAACTTATACTTGAATATTATTATTATTATTATACAGGATTTATATAGCACCAACAGTTTGCTCAGCACTTTACAATATAACGGGAGACAATACAGCAACAATACAGTTCAATACAAGAGGGAAAAGAGGGCCCTGCTCCTTGGAGCTTACAATCTAGGAGGGAATATAACTTTCTTTTTTGGAGTTTAGTGTCACTTTATTGCTGATCCTGCTCTTTATATTCTATAACATTCAGTGTGCTAATAGAAATGTTTGTTATGAACCACAACAGAGAGTGCAGTGTAATGTCTGCCCTTTGTTCAGGCTGGTAATTGAAACTCTACTGACATACCGAAATGGTGACCTTTGCAGTAAATGCTATCTCTGCACACTAAGTCCTAGTACATGGAGCTATTTGTCAGATACACAAGCAGTTCAGGGCACTTGTGAAATGTCAGTTACTGTTTCATTTGAAAGTGCTGCAGTCATTGAAAAACTGTCCTGTAATTGTTAGGCATTTCCTATGCTTTGTCAGGTGAAGTAAATTCTTTTCGTTATTACATTTTTGCCAGGTTTTATTATCTCTGATAGGAGGCTATGCCATGTTTGCATAACACTAACATGTTTTCTCTCCTTTTAGTTTATATTTAAACCTAGTGCTTGGGAATGTGAATGTCACTCTTCTTAGTAATCAAGCAAAGTAAGTATGAATTTTAATGAACAACAAAAAGCTGCATGTCCTTGTCTTCAGCTTCGGCTTGTTCTGTGTATCTAGTTGTGCCACATTTCCTTACAACAATTGCACAGAAGTGATGTGTTTCTCTTCCCTTAAAGTGGTTGCAAAGGCTGAAGGTTTTTTGACCTTCATGCATTTTATGCATGAAGGTAAACAAGCCACCTGTGTGCTGCTCCCCCATAACCCCGACAATACTCGCCTGACCCCCTCTTGATCTAGCGATGTGCACAAGAGCCTCGACTGTCCCAGGACTCCCTCTCTTCATTGGCTGAGACAGCATTGGGAGTCATTGTTTCGCACTGCTGTCAATCACAGCCAGTGATCCAATGAGGAGAGCGCAGGGATGGGGCCAAGCCGCGGCTCTGTGTTTTTATGGATGCATAGAGCAGGGCTCGGGAGCGAGCATGCACCAGTGCCCCCATAGCATGCGGCTTGCTATTGGGGGCATTGGTCAAGGGGGAGACCCGGGAAGAAGTGTATCAGGGCTGCTCTGTGCAAGCCCACTGCACAGAGCAGGCAAGTATGACATCTTTGTTCTTTTTTTTTTTTTTTTTAAAAAGGTCAAACTTTTAATACCACTTTAAAAGAGAAGCCTAAACAAGGGACATCTAGGAATCCTGAAAAGTTCATTTCTTAGCTGCATTTTATTGTCTTGGGAAATTAACATTCCAGCTGAAATTATCATAATGAAATTTAGTTCAGGCCAGCTTAGCCCAAACAAAATGTTTTAAGTGATATTAAAGCTGGAATACTACGTAGAAAATAAACAAATTTGTGAGTGTGTACATTGCCTAGCTGAAGCCATAATATAAACATGTTTTTCTTAGGCTGGCCATAGATTCTGCAGTTTTCTTTCCTTTAACCAGGAATTAAACAAAAGAAACTCACTTGATTTCTCCATCAACACAGTCAGTGTTGATGGGGGAATCCCTCCCTCGGCACAATTGTATTCTGACAGCGAGTGGTTTCCCTGCCGTCAGAATACAATGATCATTGCTGGCGGCTATAGCTGCCGTCAGTTATTGTAAGAAATAAAAATGACAGGCTGGTTGTACTGAAGTTGATCAATAGATTGACTTCGGTACAACCAGCCTGACCATAGATGGATTGAAATTTGTCTGGTTCCTGCTGAACCAGACAAATTTCGATCCATCTATGGATGGCTTAAGGTTACAAATTAAAATATTTCAGTAATAGTTTGCAGAATGTTCTAACAGCATTAGTGACAAATGACATAGCAGACTGCCTTGTGATGGATTACTGGCTTTTACAAAGTGTAACTTGCCATAATGCTTTTTTTTATTTATTTTATTTAATTTTTCTTAAATACATTCTTTTTAAATGAACTTGGAGATCTGATAAATTAATCAATCTTCTTCAAGTTGTTACAGTGAATCCTTGCTCACTTATGGGTTTGAATAGGTCTTTCATATTTGTTTCATCATATAATCTTCAAGTATTTGTACATTTTCTTTATATCAGAAATTGGGTTGCTTTTTGTTATGCAGTGAGTAAATGTCAGTAACATGGCATACTTTGTGCACCATTGCTGATAGCAAATAGGTGTTCTTCCTTCTGCCCCAAGTCATAGTCCACATAAAGCCACACTGAGTGCCATTGCATCATAGCTTTTCTCTTTACTTAGCTGTGTACTGTGACTGACATTAGACAATTATAGAAACACTAGGGAGTCAGTACTAGGAGTTGGTTACTGGCTGTCTGCTTTTGTTATTTTGATCCTAAGTAGCTGATTGAAAATTTGGTGTGACTTTATTGTTTGTGTGTTTTCGTTCTGAGGATCTCTTGCCCTGTCTTAAGTTCATTGTTTTGATCTGTTATCCTCTCCATTTTTTAGGTTTGCTTACAAGGATGAATATGAAAAATTCAAGCTTTATTTAACAATAATTTTGTTATTTGGAGCCATAGCGTGTAGGTTTGTGCTTCATTACAGGTGAGAAATTCTTCTTCTGGCCACAGCTTTGCAATATTTTTTATTGTACAGGTGAAATGCTTTACATAACACAAAAGTGAACCATGGTTCATAAATGCTGTACAGCCGCTACGTATTGCATTACCAGCTATCATAGTTGTATGCAACAAACCATGAAACTAGCTATTTGCACCAGCTCTTCTCATTTAGACATTTAAAGAATGGATTTTAACATTAGTCACCTCATTATAGTATTGAGAAACCCCACAGTGCAGCTTCCCTTCATTTGTGAAAAACATTTGCAGACTTAGACTATTAGATGTTTAGGTTATACACAAGGGATGGTGCATGTCTGCAAAAAATCCCGTTTACACAACTGAAGTCATTGATAGAAAAAGTTGGTCAATAACTAAGACTTCCTTGCAGTTTTGTAACCCTAACCAAATGCTTCATGAGTTCTGAGTAGCAATTATTAAAACATATTTTGAACAAGCCCTGCATACAAATGTGTTTCAGTTTATGTAAAAATCTCAATGTCATGCTTTAGATGAAGTCATAGCAAGAAATTCTGGGTTTTGAATCAGTGCTGTGTTGCATGACCCAGATTCCCCGACACACCTCACATACAATTTTATTCATAGGTTCCTCTGTGATTAGACTCTTCAAGCCCGAGGCAGAAAAGCCACACCGTCTGTATTCCATCTACCCTCTGTGTTGAGTTTATAATAGTGGCATACAGTGTTGTGTTTTTGGAGAAAACACCATACATGTATCACCTGTCTTCTGAACATTGTTCGATAGTGTGATGGAATATCCAGTTTTTTTGCACATCTGAGTCAAGAAGTTTGCTTTCAAATGGCAATGGTTAGCTTACAATTACAGAGTTATGGCCCCGTGAAGTCAACAGGAGACTTACCAGTGCTCTTTTTATTGAAGAATACCTCTGTATATTGGTGAGAACAAGTATTCAGCCAATTCAGATTTGGGTTTAACCTGCCCTGCTCTTCGCAACAAAATTTTGTTAAAGTGCTGTGTAATGCAATTACAACAGATTTCACATACCGTACCTCAAAAGATGAGTTGTGAAAGTCTAGAGCAGTGGTTCTCAACCTTCCTAATGCCGTGACCCTTTAATACAGTTCCTCATGTTGTGGTGAACCCCAACCATAAAATTATTTTCATTGCTACTTCATAACTGTAATTTTACAGTGGGAGGAGTAGTGCCACATCATTGGTGTCAGTGGAAGGAATAGTGCCACATCACTGATGTCAGTGGGAGGAATAGTGTCCCATCGTTGGTATCAGTGGGAGGAATAGTGCCCCATCATTGGTGTCAGTGTGGGAGGAATAGTGTCCCATCGTTGGTATCAGTGGGAGGAATAGTGCCCCATCATTGGTATCAGTGGGAGGAATAGTGTCCCATCGTTGGTATCAGTGGGAGGAATAGTGCCCCATCATTGGTGTCAGTGTGGGAGGAATAGTGCCTCATCATTGGTGTCAGTGGAGGGGGAGGGGAATAGTGCCCCATCATTGATACTAGTGTGGGGGGGGGATAGTGCCCCATCGTTGGTGTCAGTGGGGGGGGATAGTGCCCCATCGTTGGTGTAAGTGGGGGGAGGAATAGTGCCCCATCGTTGGTGTCAGTGGGGGGAGGAATAGTGCCCCATCGTTGGTGTCAGTGGGGGGAGGAATAGTGCCCCATCGTTGGTGTCAGTGGGTGGAGGAATAGTGCCCCATCGTTGGTGTTAGTGGGGGGGGGAATAGTTCCCCATCGTTGGTGTCAGTAGGGGGGGGGGGGGAGGAAATAGTGCCCCATCATTGGTGTCAGTGGGAGGAATAGTGCCCCATCATTGGTATTAGTGACACCAATGATGGGGCACTATTTCTCCTACTGACATCAATGATACTTAACTTGCTGACTCCTGCTCCAGCCTGGGCTCACTCCCTCCCTCTCCCATCTACAGCCAGCATACTTGGCTGCAGCAGCACCATCTGCACACTACAGACACTTACCTGTCAGCTGTCTTCCTTCTCCGGCCGCTCCCTCGCTCGATCTTCTTTGATCTTCGCGCTGCTGCTCGGCTCCACCTCTCCAAGCTCCACCTCCTCGCCGGTGATTGGCTGCCTGTGTGCCTCTCCTGAGCTACAGTTTCGGCAGCCAATCACTGGCGAGGAGGCGGAGCTGTTGAGTGATCCCGGGGATGTGGCCAGATGACAGGGGCGGCATGTCATCCCGCGCACACATCGCGGTCCAGGGAAATGTGGACGTATCTGCATGTGGGCAGACCCGCCTGGAGACTGATAGAGGAGCGGTGTCTCGGTTCCTAAGACCATCGGAAATATGTGTTTTCCGATGGTCTTAGGAGACCCCTGTGAAAGGGTTGTTAGACCCCCAAAGGGGTCACGATCCACAGGTTGAGAACCGCTGGTCTAGAGTAATATTTACAGAGCTTGGTCCACCAACAGGCCACAGTTAGTTTATGAACTTTAAGCAACTTTGTCAATCTTCGTAGAAAAGTGTGTCCTGCAATTATTAGCACAAAGGAAATCCATCTTTAAACAGTCCCCATAGAACCTTACAGCAATGGCTTTCTTACACCTGATATGATCTGTGTGCATGTGTTTTCTAAAAAGAAAAACATGAAACAAATGAGGTGTTAACGTAAGTTTAGCTGCCTGGGGGACTGAACTAATCATGGAAACATGTTGTCATTCATTTAATGAAAATTAATGACAGAATCATGTTGTTTTTTTTACTCTTTATAAAACACATTTTCTTTATTTTCTGAACTTAAAGTGGTACTGAACCCAAAGGCAAACATTTATTGCTGCTTGCCAATTATTAGATGTGATGGCAGCATTTGGTTTTTTTTTTTTTTTTTTGGTTTTTTTTTAGGCTTTGTTACCTTTATTTTCACTGGGTGATCCTGCCAGTAAGTCTGTTGTTTTTCAGCAAAACAAGATCTCCTGCAGATGCAGGGGTTGGACAAAATAATTATGGTTTCATCAGGCAAAAGAATGAAATTGTTACCTAATATGTCGTTGGACCGCCTTTGGCATCCAAGACAGCCTGAATTCTCCTATGAATTGACAAATATAACTCTTGGGTGTTGGATAATGGAACCTGAGACCACTGTTCATGCAAGCATCTTTCCAGTTCTTGCAGAGAAAACGAGCCTGAACCTTGTTCTCCAAAATTGACCATAGTGACTCTATGATATTGAGGTTCGGTGACTGCAGCACCCAGGGAAGGTGCAAGACTTCATCTGCATGCTCGTCAAACCATGATTTAACAACACCAGCTGTGTGAATCGGAGCATTATCGTCTTGGTAAATGGTGCGTTCTTCGGGAAACAACATCTGTACAATGGGGTGCGCATAGTCAGCAAAAATTTGTACATAGTCGCTGGCAGCGACTATACCTTTCAAGATAGTGATGAGGCCTGCAGAATACCAAGATATGGCTGCCCAAACTATGATTGCGCCACCACCATGCTTTACCTTTGGCACAAGATAGTCCTGGTCGTAAATATGACCGCCTTCTATTGATCGATAGTCCACGATTTATGGATGTTGCATCACTCTCTCCTCTTCTGCACATTAATATTGGTCTCTAGTGGTTTGGCATTTGCAGCTCACCTGTGAATGTTTTGCTTTTGGAGATCCCTCTGCACAATTTTTGTGGCACACAGGCTTTGAAAGACTGAGATTGAGCTCTGCAGTCACTTTTGCAGCAATCGTTTTCTTATTCCGGGTCACAATCCTGCACAATGTCCTTTTTTCTCTTTCGGCCATGTCGACTGCTCTTATGCTGATCAGACAACGCTTTCCCGGAAACTGTATATGCCGTCATAACCTTAGATACTGTACCTCGCAAAACAGCAAATAAATTGGCAACTTCAGTCACAGAGGCACCAGCTAAGTGGGCACCAACAATTTACCCTCTTTGAAATTCGGAGATATGTCAGAGCTTTCTATTACTAGCAGCGTGCAGTGAATGACAAAAGTGAGGCTTCCCACCTGTTAGCTAGGTGTCTCATCACACAGCGGAAGCAGAAGAATGTTACATCACTTCCACTTTCAACACAAAACATGTCGTCACTGTCACACCTGCAAAACATGTAGCGTTTCCATGTTTTCCAACCTCTGTATATCGGTTTTAAGTGTTGAGACAAACCATTTACTAATGACAGGGGTGCTTACAATTGATTAGCTTATATTTCTCTAAAACCTTCATCTCAAAAGGAAAAAACATGTTGCTGTAACTGCTTGTGTAATTGAAGTGTGAGCTGGAGTTTGGCTTCAATTTGTTTAATGTATTTAAATTTGCTAGGCCATCTAACACTCTCTTCCCCCAACACTAACTATGCTGCTGTCCAAAGATGCCCCCTTGTGCTCCTTCCTCTAGAGTGGGGGCACTCTGCTACAATAGGTGTATTACTGGCCAGATCACCAGGTGCAAACTGAGGAAAAAGTGCCTACAAAAGAAAAACTAATGCAGCCACCACATCTAATGACTGGTAATTGCAGTATATTACATTTTGGTTTTGGGTTTAATACTGCTTTTTATACGCACAGTAGTGTTTGTCATATTCAAGGACAGCAGGCATAAACAATTTAAAAAAAGAATCAGGAAAACCACTATTATCGGTAAATGTGAGGTTCAGTTGAAGCCCCCATCCCCATCCTATCTCTTCATTTTCCTGTACCCCTGCTTGTTATGATATGTGACTGATTTTTGCTTAGAAATGCCATAAAGGATTTTAATGCATTTCCAAATAAGGAAGCAGCCTGCAAAAGAAGACGATAAATACTCTTCTTTTCAGCAGGTGGCGAGGGAAACCTTTACTCTTTTGCAGAGCTTAGACCCCCACTGCTCTTCAGTGCTTCCGGGGGTGTGTTGTACTGCGTACCCCACATTGAGCAACGTGGTTCATCCTGCTAACCCCTGCAATACTACTGTTTAGTTTTTATTTCTTAGGGATAGGGTTAAATTGCAGGGCATGTCTGTCAAGTTTTGCAACTGTGTGCAATAAAGCCAAACTATCCCCCCAATTTAAAGCCTAACTCCAGCTTTGCTATCACTTTAAATAGTTGATTTGGTCGAAGCTGGCCTGATGAACTATTTTACTTTACTAATTGCTGTGCCCTCTGTCAGTGCTGTATTTAGTAATCAACTACATACTGTATACAGCACAGTGTTGAGGCAGCAGTACAGGACTTCCTGTCCTTTTCCCGGAACAAAATCGAGTCGGGCTGAATGCTGTTTAGCCATTCCCAGGAAGCCTTGTATTTTTATGAATGAATACAAGGCTTCCTCTGATTGGCTGAGGTGGAGATCATGATGTCATCCACCCACCTCTCCCCCTCAGCCAATCGGAGGAGATGCTTTTTTGACTGTTAAAGGTAACCAAGGGCTTGTGTCTATTAGGGACAAATCACACTGACTTGCACTAAAATGTATAGAAAATGCATGTACATTTCCATCCATTTTAGTCGCATTTTAACATGCACTAAAGTCTGTTGACATACATTTTGACATCCGTTGACATGCATGCGCAGCATTATGGTGTAAATAGAACACATGTTTTTCAGATGTCCTTCCATTGAGCTGTGTTTTACAGCTGTATTAAAATGCAGATCAATGCACTGATGAACTGGCCCATAGATTGGATGTATACCTTTTAAAAGTTTCAAATCAAATACAGGTTCACTTTAAAGGAAACCAGTACTAAGATACCTTTGCAGACTTCCTTTAAATAACTGCCAGACTGTGTATTTGATACTTTCAGTTGCTGACCTATAATAAGTATGCGGCAAGCAAAATTACATTGAAGTCAGAATACCTAATCTGCATACTTGTTCTGGGCCAGTGCCTCCAAAACTGATGACCATTCGATCAGAATAACAACTTGCCAGTGAGCATTTTCAAAAGAAAAGGTCAGTAGCGACAGTTTACACTTTTCCTCAGTATGTGGTAATGCTTGGCCAATCAGTTAAAGCAGAACTAATGTTAAAGTTTTTAGGTCTGTTTGAAGGATATTTGTGCTCATGTGTTTTGCATGTACAGTATATTTTACATTACTTTTGCGGTAAAGTAAGGATGTAGAAAACCATGTAGTATGTTAAATGTGCTTTTGCAAAACAAGACTGCTGTACATGCATACTACTTAAAATTGTAGGAAAACAATAAAAGAGAGAGTATTATTCAAGTATGCTTTCAACACACATGCTGCTTATCCTTCTAGGCAAATAAGCATTGACAATGGTCTGCATGTGATAGGGATTCACAAAAAAAAATTGCAGGAAAACGGGTGCTCTCATAGTGTAGATTTAGTGAAGTTCCTTCTTTCTTCTTGTGAAGTCCCCTCTGGCATAGACTCTTCCTTCTACCTAGGTCTTCAAGACTTCTCCGCCCTGTGTTCAGCACATGGCTGTTATCTCCTTTCCTGCCAACATTGCTTCCTGCTTAAATAGCCTTTATGAACCAGTTTAAACAGGTTAATTAGCAATGTAATAGAGGCAGCAGAGCTTCTGAATTCCAGATGGTAGATAAAATGTCTTATCCTGTATATTTATGCTATAAGAAAAATCACTGAAACAGCCATGGCTGTTGAATGTGAATGTGGACAGGCAGCATGAAAAATTGAGAGATCCTGCATGAATTTATTGCAGAACCTTTAAAGAAAACCTGTTACTAGAGAGATACTTTGGGGTATTTTTGAGCTGCTTGGTTGCCTGTCTGTCATGCTGATCTATTGGCTTCAGTACAATTTGACTCAGACATTGGGTTCTGACCCTGCTGTGCTTCCTACTTTCTCTTAAGTACCAAAGCATGAGACTACCAGGTAGCAAGAAATTTCAGAATGATGTAATTAGTGTCAGTCCTCACACTTTTCACATCAGTAATCATTTAAGCAGAGCAAGAGAAGGTGAATGGTGTTTGTTGTCAATTCACATAGTATTCTCCCACTTAGTGATATATCAGAGGCTTCCCGCTACCTAACGTTTATAGATCATAGGTGGGTTGTTTACCTTGCTGTCCTTGCTTCACCCTTGCTATCCTTTTTCCTTTGTTCATTTCACACCAAATAGTAACTCATTGATTTTGTCTCCTAGAGTGACAGATGAAGTGTTCAATTTTTTGCTAGTCTGGTACTACTGCACACTAACCATCAGAGAAAGTATCCTCATTAGCAATGGATCACGGTGAGTGTCTGAACTAAAGGAAAACCACATGGTTGCTCATTAATGAAAGTTATTGGTGATAAAAAGTAAAGCAAATTGACAGATCCTGGTTAAGTGGTAGTTTGTGGTGTGTGTGTGTTTGTTTTTTTTTTTTTTTTTTTTTTTTTTTTGTTTTTTTTTTTTTTTTTTTTTTCTAATGCTGGAAAACCGTGAGACAATTTCCTTTCCAATATGCGTCAAATTCAGGTATTTCTTTCAAATTTAGAATCTGTCACTATGACTGCGACAGATAGTTTTTTGTACAATCATCGGTTCACAGCAAACTGGCGGTAATTAGGACCAACTCTGAGATGACATACAAAGACATGCCAGTTCTCAGAGTGGAATAATTTTTTGTTTCGAAGTCATGACTATGACCACTTCTCACACAGGGCTTCCTGCTTGCTATGAAGCTGCTGGCCACTTCCTACATAGCGATCAATAAGTATTTCCTAGCCCTGTTCTGGAGCTAGGAAACTGATTCCCTGGTGAACAGCTTAAAGTAAACAAAGGGCTGAGATGCTGACAGTTACCCGAATGGGCAGTGACCGTATTTGGACAATGGAAGCCAGCATCCCGTGCCTTTGCTAACTTTCAGCTGTTGACCATAGGGATCTCCCGGCTGGCAGCTGAATGAGGCTGGGGATGAGTAATCCATTGCCATCCATGTGCTGCTGGCTGCTCAGCTGTTTGTGTCCTAGCTAGCAAGGGGCTGAACATTCACTGAATACATTGTTCACAGAATGGACACTCCAGCCTCTGTGCCGCCCCCCCTCCATGTTGGAGATTTATGCACTTGTTCCTTTTTTTGTGCTGAGTAGCTAAGAAGTGTCTATGACCCTTTTTATGAATTCAACTATACATCTTCCATCATGCCTTGGGGACTGCAGTTGCCATTGCATAATTGTTTCTTTATTGCCTTGACATCCAAATGCTTGTTGTAGAGCTTACCCTCCCCTAGGTGAAAACAGAATTAAAATTGGCATAAAGAGGAACTTTAGCTAAAATTAAAAAAAATGGTGAACAGGCAGTATTTATGATGCAGAAGGGGATATGCTTTGTGTCTCCTGCATTAAAGTTGCTTACTTGCCAGTCCACCCATGTACCGTGATTGAGACCCGGAAGCCGGCTGCCAAAGATGCCAGCAGCAAACTCTGATCCTAATTAAAAAGGTATGCGCTAATAACAAACTTATACAAAGGTGTATATCATCATCCAAAAAAAACATTTAGTGTTTTAAATAAATAATTATAGTGACCAAACATAAATTAGTGTCCAAAAAAATATATATATTAGTGTCAAAAAAAAAAATATATATATAGATCTTCAGTGACTTGAACCAATTGTGAAAAATCCACCACCAAAGGAGATTAAATGAACTCACCAGAGCTAATGGCTGGTCAGATTATAAACCAGCAACAGCACTTGTGCTCTGGGAGCAATGAACCCGATGTCCAAATAGATCTGGTGATGTTTCAGATACTTCCGGATAGTAATAATCACAGACAAACAACTTTGCAGCCCAAGCTCTTATGATGAACTTCTCCACTCTCTCATATCTCCATGAGAGCATACAGTACACTCAGGGACAAAAAAAGAGAACATAATGGTGCAATACGTTTTTTCATTTATTTCTTTAATAAAAAAGGTATAAGGAAACTCACAAACAAGGTGTCCAACAGACACCAGCTTCAATCGCAAAAAAGGTGAGATACAATTACCGCTCACCGCGGATCTCTCCCATACAGCACAGAACAGCAAGGCTCTGTAACGTCCACATCGTGTAGTCTGAGATGCCGTATTGCTGGATAGTTCCGCTTTAGTAGCCCTCCATCTGAGACCTTTTGTCTAGGCATTTTTAAACTTAAGTGTTTTGGATTAAAATACATTTATATATGTTTCCTTTTGGGGGGGCAGGGAGGTTGTAAAATTAGAAATTCTAGAAAATAGTAAAATTAGAAACATTTCTAGAAGAAATCCTAGCAATCACATGGCACCTGGGCCACTCGCAGACGCCAGGTACCAAGCAATGTAATCCGCAGCAGCCACAGGATTGCACCACTGCGCATCCTGGGGGGGCACCAGTGCCCATGAACACTGCAACACATGGGTACATCTCAATACCTGTACATCTGGGGAAGCCGGCCGCCAGCAGAAAATTTACTGTTGGCGGCCAGAACGTGGTTAAAACAATTCTGTGATCACAGCATGCACCTTCATTTATAACCATATTGTAATACAAACAGTAGTTAACTTTCACAATCCAATATAAGATTACTTGAAAAATCTCCTTTAATGTTGGGAGTGCTGCCTGTCAGCTGGCCACCTCTTTTGAAAAAACTTCATGGATTGCCTGCATGCTTTGCTGCTTCTCCTCTGCTGTTTACTGTAAATCTCAGAACTATATATCCCATGGTACCTTGCTGTCTGCAAGCTGTGCTTCTTGTACTGACTCCGACTTCTGAAACTCCTTCTCTCAGTACCTATGTACTTCAGAAGGCAGGCTCTGTGGAGTGTGTGACACAGCAGTGCCTGCTCACAGGGCATAGTGAATATATGTCACAGAATTCAAAGAAGTAAATGTGTGGAGATCTTTACAAAGCAGGTTTACATATTTCAATATCGTTCAGATTAATAGAAGTAGAATAGAAATATGATGATACGGTATATAAATATGATGTTACATTTTGACTAAACATACTGAACTCGTTTTGCATTTTTGTTTTCGGACGCTTTTTCTGCATTGGGTGTAGGGTTGGATTAGATTAGGGGAACCTGATTGAGCTAGCCAAAACACCTCTGCCCTGTAGCAATGGATCATCTTTGATGGTGATCTATTGCTCACTTTCATCAATTAGAAAGTTTAATTTGCTTATGAAGATGTTTTTTTCTATAGACGGAGACCTCTATTCCTGATGCTTACATATTATTTTCTTCCGTGATTGCTTGTAGTTTGATGTTAACAACTGGCCAGTGTTTAGTTTAATATTTAAAGTGTTTCTAAAGTCGGAAGTTATTTTACCTTAATGCATTCTCTGTATTAATGTGAAAAAAACCTTCTGCATGCAGTTCCCCCCAGCCCTCCCTTTTACTTACTTGAGCCCAATCTCGATCCAGCGATGTGCATGAGAGCAGCGGCTCTCTCCCTCCTCATTGGCTCAGAGACAGCAGCTATTGATAGCTGCTATCAATCACAGCCAGTGAGGGAGTGGGAGGCAGGGCTGAGCCACGCTGTGTGCCAGTGGACTCGAGTGAGCCTGCAAGTGTGCCCCCATAGCAAGCAGCTTGCTATGGGGGGGCACCTGAGGAGTAGCACCGGCGGGGGAACTGAGAAGAGGAGGATCAGGGCTGCTCTGTGCAAAACCATTGCACAGAGCAGGTAAGTAAAACATGTTTATTTTAATTTAAAAAATGTCAGCATTTACAATCCCTTTATTATGTTTCTTTTTAAAGCTTCTTTTTTTTTTTTTTTTTTTCAGAATAAAAGGATGGTGGGTTTCACATCACTATGTATCTACTTTTCTTTCTGGCGTGATGCTCACATGGTAAGTTGGAGCATTTGGCATTATATTCATTACATTTTGTAAGTAATGATGTTGGTGAAGTAGATGGAAATGTTCTACCAACAAAGGCATCATCTACTGCCCATGTTTTTGTTAACTGAAATGGGTAAAGAAACAATTGCAATAGATAAATGTAAACTGTTTTAGCTGCCCAAGTATTTGCTCATACATTCTTGTGATTTATACACCCTTCCAAACTATAAATATGCATAGTTATAAATCTACTCATTATTTGCAGCTTTTTGGCTACCTCTCCAAAATGTTTAACCTTTTCATTGTACATCGATTGACCATCCCTGTAGTGAGAAGGTCCTCTGCTGTTAAGCTAGCCATAGACGGGTTTTTTCGATCAACCAGTGGCCTGATCAAAACAAACTGAATAGATTCCCCATCCACAAATTCAAGGTGGATGCCGAAATCCTTCTCTCTGTTTCATTGTATTCTGACAGTGGGACTCCCCTGCTGTCAGAAAACAGTGCTACAGCGCTGATTGAGGCAAAATATTCCATCAAGCAGGTTAATGAGAAGTCAATCAACTTCTCATGAACGGGAACAGCCATAGATGGATTGAAATTTGATCAATTTTTTTGCCAGCTTTAGCCTACCTAAATATGCCTTCCTCCAGCTGCCAGCGCTTGAAACATATTAGCGTGTGCAGTACAGTAGAGCCGAGTTGGCTCACAATGTAGGCACTACATCTCTCAGCCTTACTTCTAGTATGTCTGCCATTACAGGTAATTATACTTGCAGTATGCAAAAGATAAATCTTAGTTTTTGTATGACTATATAGCTGAATAAAAGTTGTTTTTTATATCTGACAGATTTCGTGCTATATCTATTTCTTCATTACACACTTGTATCATGTGATCAGTATCAAGATACACTTTCAATAATAGAGTGCAGAGTGCTTGGATTGGTCCATGTGAAGCTCAGAGTACAGAGAAAAAAATTAATTACTACTGACCATCACATTTACTTTTTTTTTTTTTTTTTGTTATGTTCTAAATTAACAATTCTTTTCACACCATGCCTGGCATGAATGCACCTTGTTGGTTAGAGTAACTAATACATTTGTATTAAAGCTGAACTCTAGGCATGATTTTTATCGCATAATTACATTGGTCCAGGTTTGACCAGTGTCAGTATGGTCATCTTGTGTCTTATACCTGAGTGATCGCAGTGCGAGCTGCAAATTGGGACTGCTACAGTGATAGCAGCGATCTTCTAAGTTCTCTGCCGACACAGACTGACATATTGCTACCCATTCAAAAAGAGAACATATTGTATTCACTGAAAAAATTCCAAAGCATCTGTGAATAGTGGCAATGCCAAGCGAATGACCCCCTGTGGTTCCTATGTAGAAGTGAACCAGTTCGCCACAGAACCCATAGGATAGCAGCAATCACTGTAGGAATGATGACTACTACAATGATGGTCTCCTTCCACAGCGATTGCTCAGCTATGAGATACACATAGTAACATTGCTGAAAGCTGGATCATAGTAACTATGCTGTACAAATTATAACTACGCTTCAGTTTTAAGGCATCCCATTTTTTTTTTTTTTTTTTTTTTTCATTTACAGTTTTACAATGTCAATGAAAAAAAAAAAAAATCTGTGTCTCTTGGATCACAATTCAATAGCTGCATATTTGAAGCCTTTTTATTTTGATTGGGCTGCAACAAACATGGAGGCACATAATATAGGACAAGAACACCCCCGCACACCCCCCCGCACACCCCACGCACACGCACGCGCGCACACACGCGCACACACGCGCACACACACACACACAAAACTCAGCACAATTTGGGCATTACCATGTGTGGTGGTAGACTCTCTCCTTTGATGTTTATTCCTGCAAAGCATAAATGTGAATCCAGATTTGCAGTATAGTGTGTTTTCAGTATATGAAAGTGTGAATGAAGAAAAGTGGAGCTGTTACCTTGGCAAGCAGAGAAGGTTTTTCTCTAACCTGGCTTGGAAATAATGGCCGTTATCGTCTTGCTGTGGGTTTAAAAAAGGATTAACACGAGTAATATAAATTAATGCATGTATCTCTTATCTGTCTAGGCCAGATGGACTAATGTATCAGATGTTCCGCAATCAGTTTCTTGCCTTTTCAATATATCAAAGTAAGTAGATGTCATTTCTGACCACTGCATTACATTCAGGGTCCTTTCACACCCGTGTGTATGTATTTTTCATGCATTTTTAAAATCTACAATAATGCTGTTATTTAGTATTCTACACAGTGATTGGGGGAACTTTCATGAATATCTATTTTGGATAGGGCCCCTGTGTTACAATGGGTTAAAAACACACCATATATTGTATTTTTAGTGAGCTCATATTCATACTGTAGTTCATAGTGTGTGTTCCTTGAAGGCATTTTTGATTCTCAGTTTTGCTTACACTCTATCTCCTAGTTGTGTTGTATTAAATATTGGTTATTGTAGATTATCCAACAGAGACAATTTTAAACTTGGCCTCAACTAACCCCCCCCCCCCTCCCCCCCCACCTCATTTTATATTATGTAGATATCATCCACAGAGGGAATGCATTGTTTTTTTAAACACCAAAAAAATTATAATGACTTCTCTGCTGAAATATAGGGACATTTGACACTTTTTGTATGCTGGCCTCCATGTTTGACATATCTCCAGACTCTGGCTTTTCTTAGTCACAGCAGGATAACACTTGCACTATGTTATTAGGCCACAGCCTATGGTAGAAATGGCAGATACACTTGATATTGCAGAAGGTAAGAAATGGTTATTTTTGGTGCAAACATTCTTTGTACAAAAAGTTTTAGGACTGATCATTTATACAGTAAATTTTAGTTGCCTATACAGTATGTTTGCCACTGATACTGATACTAGCGTAAATGATGCTTTAGCTCAGCAATAATCATACTCGAAATCCTAAACAAAGTAATTGAACCCAGCCCACTAAGATGGTGATCACTGACCCATGCTGTATATACATTAACCATGGCATCCAGGTAAATGATGTTTGGCATCTGCTAACTGGGCAGGACCCTACATTAAGATGACTGTGAACTCAATTGTATGTGAAAGACATTAAAGGGAGATTCAAAGCAGAACAACGATTTAGCTAACTAGAAAGATAACCCCCAGTGTCTGCAAAAAACCCCAAAAAACTTTGAAAATATTTATAAAATGAAATACATATCATAAGTTCTGAATGTGCCATAGAAGTTCAATATGATGCATCTCTCCTGGTTTATGTTTTAAAAGTTGCAGCCTTGGAAGAGGGATTAGTGCAGATGCTCTATGATAATGTGTAATGTAGTTGGGAGGTGTAGGGATACAGACGCCGCTCAACAGCCATGCCCTCTGACGTTTCACCCAGCCCACCGGGGGCTTGGTCTCCACCACTGTGACCAAGCCCCAGTGGGCAGGGTGAAACGTGTTAGAGGGCATGGTGGCTGAGGCCATCCTATACACCTATCCGTACTCTTTGGGTCTGATTGAGCTGTGTCTGTATCCCTACATGGCCTGAGCTTCTGGTGGCACATTGAGACGCCTGCTCCCTCTTTCCGAAAACGGTGGTGTAATCTTCGTTTCCTGGCTTGGAGCGGTGCGATACGCTCTCCTCACATACTATGTAGTTGGGAGTTATTGTTCTAGCAGACCACTTCTATGGGCAGAGGGGAGGTAAACCTTTACCCCAAAAGGAAAGACTGTTGCTGTAACATTTTTAAAGTCTAAGTGCAGCCAAAATAAAATGCAGAAAAGACAGCACAAGGGATATAACTTGCTGTCATTAGGATGTGTTCCTTTTTGATGACTCTGCTTTTAGTTTAAATCCTCCTCTGTATACCCCCACCACTGTAGTCTTCCAGTGTGGTGAGGTTTAATAGAACTATTGTCTATTTAGCGGTTTGCCTGGAGTTCCGCTTTAAAGATGTTAGTGGTGAGGACCTTTCCTGGACATAACTAGAGAATATACAAACAACAAATGACAATGAAAACAGATGAGTGTATTGTTAGGTGACTCAGCTAACATTTAAGTAGAGAGACGGTTTGTTGTTACAAATCCATCAATGGCTGAGTAAGAACTGTAATATACGTGTTCTCACTTGCTGAGAAACTTGTAAAACTGGAGAAGAGTCATAGTATCTCCTTTTGGGTTTCATTGTCTTGCAGAATTTGATTTGCTGTTAGTAAATAAACCCACAATGTTTGATATGACTTTTAGAAATGATTTGTTTTAGCAGTGTAATCCCCCATTCACATTTGGGTGCTTTTCTGCTCATTTCACTACGTCAGACTATGAAAAATTATGTTCTTTTTAATTGTTCCCATTCATTCTTGTTACCCTGCGCTCAACACCCAAAAAAGTACATGAACTTTTTTTTTTTTTTTTTTTTTTTAGCGTATTCAGGCATTTTTTGGCTCATAGATAGGTGGGAGCAACTGTAAACATGTAATGCGGAAATTTTCATGCCTGAAGAACACCTCTCCTATAGAACATAGAACTGCTCTTCTACCCTTGCTCAGTCCAGGAAACAAACTCATAAATATTGATCCATGTGCAAAAGTACTTGTAAAATGCTTATAATAAGCCTGAAGAGGCGTAAACAAATGCTTTAAAATCACTCTGCTCATGTGTGAATTTAGGATAATGGGTTATGATGAACTGTAAAGTAAAAATAGTAAATTATATATAAACGGACTTTTGTTGCAGATTGTGCTTTACTGAATAAAAATGTTATCCATTACCACAGCTCTTAGTATGGTTGTAGGAGCACTACTTCTATTATGAGTAATGGTTTCCATGACTGGGGTTGTTGTGTATTAGACTGCTTTTGCTTTATAGGAAGTTACCAAGTTTTTGGTGCTCGGTGATGAGATATTGTATCTCAGGATTTGAATATGAATGTTTCTTTTTATTGTCTAAATATTATTATTTGTTTGCAGGCTGTGTACAGTTTCTACAATATTACTATCAAAGTGGTTGTCTATACAGATTACGTGCATTAGGAGAGAGAAACCATTTAGACCTTACAGTTGGTAAGTACATAGACTTGCTATTTGTAGTTTACTCTTGGAATGGGCACACATGCTATTGGACAGTGACAGATCTGAATACTGAATTGTGAGCACTTTTATTTCTGATTTGAAGGCTTATTAGGAAAATTGCATTCTTCATACATTTATTGCAAGAACACAAACTTATACATGGCATAATGGCATAATGTTGACCTTGTTTGTCCTTCAACAAACCTTCCATATGTTAAAACAGCAAGACAATGGGTGTCTTTTTTTTAATTATCTGTGACAGCCAGATTCATGTTTCCTATATGGCATAGGACATAGGTGATTAACAGGGAGAGTCTGATTTCAATGGGCAAAGGCATACTGCTTTAGACTCTTGAATTAGATGCTGGAATTCTTAGTATGTGTTTAGCAGTGTTAGGCTAAATTTTTTAAAATAAATTAAAATATTTGGTGGTACTGCTTCTGTATAGCTGTATCTTAAAGAAGTATAACTTTTTCTTTATCGTACATCACGGGACACAGAGCAGGCTGTTCATGTCTATGTGGGTTATATGCCACCTATAGGTGAATGGACACTGGTAGATCAATAAAACAGGAAGTCTTCCCATATACCCTTCCTACACAAGAAGTACCGTATTTTCCGGCGTATAAGGCGCGACTGGGTGTATAAGACGACCCCCCTAATTTTCCAGTTAAAACATAGGTTTTGGGCTATACTCACCGTATAAGACTACCCCCCTTCCGAGGCAACACCATTTAAAAACATCAGATTTTTTAATTGAAATGGTTATGACTTACCGGTACTTAAAATGCTTCAAAATCCTCATGTTCATCCTCTGACATCATAAGTTCATGAATGACATCTTGTGATACATTTGTAAGACAGTCATCATATGGATCAAATTCCAAATCAGATGGTTACTGCTGGATGTGCGGTAATACGGTAGCTTCGGCTACATACAGTATACAGTATATATACAGCCCATTGGATGTGCAGTAATGTACATACAGTATACCGCAGTGAACCAAGCTGGCTCAAAACAAATGTCCCTATGACAGATTAATCTGTCAGCCCGCTGGATGTGCGGTATATACAGTATACTGAGCCAAGCTGTTTCAAAACATACCGGTACGTCCCTACGGTAATCAGATTGCTGGATGTGTGTATGTACAGTAGCTGAGGCTACATACAGTATACGCTGGGCCAATCACGGCTAGTGATGTATTCTACTAATGAATACAAAGCCTGCTCGGATTGGCTGAGGTTGTGACATCAGCCCACCTCTCTGACTCAGCCAATCCGAGCAGGCTTTGTATTCATTAGTAGAATACATCACTAGCCGTGATTGGCCCAGTGTATATTGCATGTAGCCGCAGCTACCGTACATACACGCATCCAGCGGGCTGATTACAGTAGGGACGTACCGGTACGTTTTGAAACCGCTTGGCTCAGCGCAGTATACTGTATATACCGCACATCCAGCGGGCTGACAGATTAATCTGAGACTGAGTCCTTGAAGGTCTTTTATGACAGAGCCCGCCGTGATGGGTTAAGGTTGGACTTCTGTTGTGATTCAGAGTCCTGTGGCGGGAACAGTAAGTTTACATTTGCAGTGTTTGTTTTTTAAATCTAACAGGTCATTCTCCTAGTAGCTACTGGGGCAGTGTGCTGTTTGGTCTGACCGGGCCATGCTCTGTGTTTCTCTGAGGGAGTATCTGGCTGCTGTTTTCTCCTCCAGCCAGTAGAGGCCATGGGGCCACTCTCTATAGCCTACTCTTGTGCAGTGGAGGCAAGAAGTAGAGGGGTGGCCATTTTTTCTGATGCTTGAAGTTACATGTGGGCTGACGGTTAATGAGGCTCCTGAGAGATAGCAGGGACACTGTGCAGTCTATGGCTGGATGGTGATGTGAGAGTATTATCTATGGAGGAGCTGCATGGCCAGACAGGATGCAATGATGCACTATATTAGCCTGCATAATCATGGTGGGCTTGTACAACTGTTTTTGATACACCCCTGCATGGGTATCAGTGCACTTAAAGGAGTTGGAGTCTCCGAAGTAGCTTGTATTTGATCTGCAGGAGCTTCCATTTAGACTGCACTAAAGCGGCATAGAGGCAGCATTCAAGCATGTGTATTTGACTAGTCCTGTGAAACTAGTATGGAACCAAGTGCAGTTCATTTTGACACCTCTCTTTGATGACACAATACACTTCTAGAAAGCAAGGAAGTTTCAGCATTGCATTGCATTTATTATTATTATACAGGATTTATATAGCGCCAACAGTTTGCGTAGCACTTTACAATATATGGGAGACAGTACAGTAACAATACATTTCAGTACAGAAGGAATGTGAGGGCCCTGCTCGTGGAGCTTACAATCTAAAGCACTTATTGCATGCATACCTACATAATTATTTGAACTGTATATTTGTATAAACTGCATTTGTACGTGCATACATATTGCTAAACTGCATACATACCTGTATTCATAAACTGTATATATACACATACATGCACAAACTGCATACGTACATGCATACTTATACTTGCATAGACTGCATATGTACATGCATACTTAAATACTTAAACTACATACATGCACACTTAAATGCATACCTGCATAAACTGCAGACTTATATTTGCATAACCTGAATACATACAGTTGTGTTCAAAATAATAGCAGTCAGACATCACTAACCTGATCAATCACTGTTTTTGGTAGAAATGATATTTCTACATGGCAAATAATTTACTAGCAGATGTAGTAGAGTAATAGAAATCCAACAGACCCAACAGTCATGACATGCACGCTGCTGATTCTGTGTAATTGAATCACTAATTGAAAGGGACATGTTCAAAATAATAGCAGTGTGGAGTTCTATTAGTGAGGTCATTCATTCTTTGAAAAACAGGTGGCAATTATTGCCCTTATTTATTTATTTCCAGACATTGTTCAGAAGAACAGCGTACTTGATTAAAAAGTTGATTGGAGAGGGGGGGGGAAAAAAAAGGAAGTGCAGAAAATGATAGGCTGCTCAGCTAAAATGATCGCAAATGCTTTAAAATGGCAACCAAAACCTGAAAGACGTGGAAGAAAGCGAAAAACTACCATTCAAATGGATAGAAGAATAGCCAAAATGGCAAGGACTCAGCCAACAATCAGCTCCAGGAAGATCAAAGAAGGTCTAAAGTTACCTGTGAGTACTGTTACAATTAGAAGACGCCTATGTGAAGCCAAGCTATCTGCAAGAAGCCCCCGAAAAGTCCCACTGTTGAAAAAAAGACGTGCTGAAGAGGTTACAATTTGCCAAAGAGCACATTGACTGGCCTAAAGAGAAATGGCGCAACCATTTGTGGACTGATGAAAGTAAGATTGTTGTTTTTGGGTCGAGTGGCCGGAGACAGTTTGTCAGACGACCCCCAAACACTGAATTCAAGCCACAGTACACTGTGAAGACAGTGAAGCATGGTTGCGCAAGCATCATGATATGGGGATATTCCAACAAGACAACGACCCCAAACACACCAGTAAACATGCAACATCTTGGTTCCAGACCAACAAGATTGACGTTATGGAGTGGCCAGCCCAATCTCAGGATCTTAATCCAATAGAAAACTTGTGGGGTGACCTCAAAAATGCAGTTTCTGAGGCAAAACCAAGAAATAGAGAAGAACTGTGGAATGTAGTCCAATCATCCTGGGCTGGAATACCTGTTCACAGGTGCCAGAAGTTGGTTGACTCCATGCAACACAGATGTACAGCAGTTCTCAGAAACAGTGCTTATACAACTAAATATTAAGTGATTCAAAGGAAAGCAAAATCTTCAAACATTTTTCAGTTTATATAGTGAATGTTTGAGTTTGTAAAGAAGAATACAAACACTGCTATTTTTTTTGAATAGTCTAATATTCACTTTTCTTCAATTTTTTTAGAGGAACAATACAAATTTGATATATTTTTCTTCATATTTTGATTTGGAATAGAATGTGTAGTGTTCCCAATGCATTTGTGTGTATGGAAATAAAAGCTATTAGAAGGATTTTGAGCTTTATTCACTTTTTTCAACACACTGCTATTATTTTGAACACAACTGTACATGCATATTGCACAAACTACATACATTCATACTTGCATAAATTTCATACTTAGATGCATATGTACATGCATACTTAAATTCATACGTAAATACATATATTGCATATGTACATGCATACTTAAATGCATAAACTGCATAGATGCATAGACTGCATACTTATATTTGCACAAACTGCATATGTACATGCATATTTGCACTTACATAAATCGCATATTCACATGCATACTTGTGTGAACTGTGTACTTGTATAATCTGCATCTTATATATCTGAGTACCTGTTTATTTGCATCAACTAAACTGCATAAATGCATACTTGTATACCTGCATACCTATGCACCTACATAACTACATACCCATGTACATGCATAGATGCATGATTGCTTGCCTGCATGATTGCATAACTGTAGACCAACATGGCTATGCACCTGCATCCCTGAGGGACTGCATAGTTAGTTGACAATATAGTTGCTACATTATTGACGTAAAGGGTCCCAGAAAGGGAAGGCAGCTGAGAGCCAGGTGCGCCTCCCTCAGGTCCAGTGGACTCAGGTGGGGGTGTAATCTGCCAGTGTGTTCGAATTTCACGATAAACTAATGGTGTCAGGTGTATCTGGGCCACTGTGTTTGTCTGACATTGCAGCTATTCCTGGTGGCGAAGCTGCAATGAACTGCGACTGCAACACCCTGAACACGCCTGATCTCGTCTGAACTCGGAAGCTAAGCAGGATCAGCCCTGGTTAGTACTTGGAGGGGAGACTGCCTGGGAATACCAGGTGCTGTAAGCTTTTCCCCTCCAGAGTCTGAGATGGCTGTGTTTTGAGAAATATCTCGGGCAGAGGATGCTAGGGCAGTCTCTGAGGTGATTCGAGACACTCGACAGGTTCACAGGCCCAAAACCAAATGGGGACGTGAG